GAGGGGAAAATATATTTATATATGTATATATAACTCTCACTCGGATCGCGATGCGCTTACACATGTATATGTACATTAATAGGCCTAACGTTTAGTTAACATTAAAAATCGTTTCGCTTGGATCGTTAACGCCAGTCTCCTTACGTTCTAGAGCATGCTTTCTACAGGGATATCACTTAGCAACCTATATGCAGCCGAACAGGCTGTGCGCCGCATGCCGCATATATCCGTCCGTCCAACGCATCTCTTTCTCGGAACAGAAGTCCATTCATCGAGGACAGCTATGTAGCGTGTGATATAAAAATGATATCTCGATTAGATTCGATGTCGAACAACAACAAGTCGGAAATAAGTCTGCCGTTATATTTATAGTCTTATACAACCTCGTGTCGGGGCGACACTTAAGTTCGCCGTAGCGCCGCACATAGTGATAGATCGAAAGCGTGTGAGAGAGAGAGAGATAATTACATCGCGATTGATACATCGATCGACTACAATCCGCCGATCCGCTTTAGTGGCGTTTAGGATAATACTCGGGACGCGATACCTTTAGAATACAGATTTCTCGTTACGGCCGTGTTTCTCGCACGTTCTCACAGAATTAATTAACATTGTTATATATTTACAGATTAACATTTTTCTCTCAATGTGGTTCTGGAAACACCCGGATTTCAATACAAATTCTGGAAGTTCGGTGGCAAAACGGAACGTCTGAGGCCTTACGAATTCGTAAGTACAGGCCTAATCTCTAATTAACGCGTTTACATCGTTTTCTTCTATTTTCAAAGCGGTCACATTAAGATCGGAGTGTTGAACGATTGTATTTATAACGATTGGATCGCAAGAGATCACTTTACGAGGGAAGACGATGTACCTGTACAAGTGCGAAACTATGACTAACTGATATACTCGCGACAAACGACTTGTCCGTTCTAAAATATATCTCCAAAAGACGTAAGATGCAATCAAGTATTTTAATTGAGCTTCCACGGATCTCGTGTGATTATAAGGTGATTTTACTCAAAATCGTAATTATGGAGGAAAAGAAAAAGAAACGGAGCAAAGATTCTTCCGAATTCGCTTAAAAACTATTATTGTCACGCATTACACTTGCAAGACGGTGCATAATGGTGTGTCGCACATTTCGTTTAAAACCGAAGCTCGGCGTATGAGTGAACATATATATGCACGTAAAAAATTGTCCCGTTTAAACGGCCTGATCTGCAGCGAAATATAAAAGTACAAAAAGACGTGTGATTATCGAGCGAATCTGAACTGGTGGTCTCGTTTGTCTTAAACTTTCTTTTTGTATAAGCATGGTCAGTGTTAGATGCCGATTTTAAGTTAGTTGCCTTTTGATTAAAATAAAATTCGTGTTACATATATACATATATGTATTACGCAAAAATTAATCATACAATTCTGTGAACGAAATTGCAAGAAGAAGCTTTTCAAACTTATCTACGATACTCTACGAATGCAAAGAGGTACCTCCGTCGTTAAAAGCCATTGCGTTTTTTACGTTAATTACGTTAATTCGTTAAGCTTTTGTTAATTAACTTCGTGGAACTGTTCTTGCGATGCCTTGCGATAAATTTTCAAAATAGCATATGCGTGTCGATAAAAAGTGCGCTTTAAAATAATGAATAAAGTAGATCGGTATCGAAGTAAATACCTTCTCTCGCGGAAAAGAGGGGAAAATACGTTACAAACTATTCAGTACGTAAATTTAATTACGCAAAAATGCATGTATTCAAAGATTATAGCCTTACGATAATCAAGCCAACTTACGAATTGCATATCGATATCTCTCTATAATGTTCGGGGACGGATTACACGCGAAATAAAAACTTTTACGTTTGAAACGGCGTTTCTCTTTACCGCGTTACTTTTTCTCTATGCAGGAAATTGGTAACAATTATGTAATATGTACCGTTATCAGTGGAATTTAATTTGAGGAATTGACAGTTCCACTTAATGTAAATATACATTTCTCTTTCTTGCAAAATTTATTGCAGCTATACGAACGTTATGCAATTATGAAGTATGCTTGCGAGACATTATTAAGTGATTGAGCCGCCCCAAAATATATTTCGTTTTCTACGCACGAATCTTAAATACTGTGCAGTATATTGATAATTCGATCAACATAACACGCATTCGATTATCAAGTAAATATGATAATTATACTGCTCTCTAAATTTGCCAGATTTCGCAACGTGGAACTATTGGTTGCTAAAAACTAAAATGGAGACGAGAGAGAAAATATATATATGTGTGTGTGTATATGTACATATTATTCAATGTACGCACATCTGCATAAAAATAAAGTCTCTTTTTATGTCAATCTGATTAGAGGAAATAGCTTTCAGTCCACTATTGTTAGTTAAAAGTATTAAATATATTTTATGGAATACTGATATAAAAAACTAAATAGTGCCTCGTATTTCCTCTTATATATCTATAATCCTCTCTTACGTTTTCGCCGTTATTTACTTAAAATTTCATTTTCATAAAAAAATAAAAACATTTTTTTTTATATTCAACACGATTGCATCGAATAAAGTTACTAATTTGTCGTTTAAAGCGGCCTACAATGCATTTCTTAGTCACATGTCGTCCTGTCACGATATACTTTCATATTTAGGACAGAACAGAAGTGTTTTTTCCGTAAATGTTTCTCTCTCGCGGTGTGCCTCATTCCTATATGTATAATATAACCACGTGACGCTACGATATATCACATATCGCGTTATTAGCACCGTTTCAAAGCCATTCCGTCACGGGAGAGGGGGGGGGGGCGGAATATGCTTCGACAAGCGGGTGAAAATAAATGGCTTCGACGAACGCACGTCGAATTAAGACTTGTACGCGAGTCGTATTTGTCCGTAAGTTCGGTGATATATTACTCGTGAAAAATCAACGAGGATCGCTTATCACTTATCGTCGAATGAGGCATCTCGGAAATGCAATAAACAAAAAAATGCTTACATTGGCACTCAGATTACTGAAGAAATAAACCTATAGCAAAATCATCACACACAGTTATCGCGAGGCAGCTGCGTTTCGTTGAATAAAAAAGAATCACATATAATTCTTACGTCCTATCGAACTATCGGGATTTAAGTACTTTTCTATCCTCCTGTCGTTCGTGATAATAAAATTAAGATAATTAGCACAATCCTTCGTAAATTCTATTAAAATACATACGTAAAATAAGTAACGTAAAACAATAAAAAAATGCAAATTGGTACAAGAAAAGCACAGGCACCCATCTGGAAGGACACTTGCGCTATTTTTTCCATTCTTTCTTTTCTTTTTTTTTTGGAACTTCACGTCGCAAGGTTTTTTACGCTACTGACATTGGGAGAAGTTTTGTCGTAACAATCTAGAATATGTGCAAATATACATTGAAGATTTGCATGTAATTCTGATATGTGTCGTGAGTTTGAAATAAAAATTGTGGAGCTTAAGCCGCACGCGATTGCGAATATATGTCCGGGCATCGGCTGTCGATTAATTTTATCAAAGAGAGTGATAAAAACTCCGGCAGTTACAATGAGATCTGTTAAAATTATCGGGGGAAAAAACCAAGCGAAAGAAAAATACTTTTACGCGGGCGATGAGAATGTCATATGGAATGTTGCGTTTTTCACCGGATCACGCGAATACTGCATCGACGGAGCAAACAATACCAAATGAATAAATATATATGTGTGTGTAATATATATATATATATATATATATATATATATATATAAAACAACAGTAATAGCAATAAACGTTATTCTAGTAGCAGTATTAGTTTTCTTTCCTCATTACTGACGCAATGAGAAAACAGCACAGAGTGGTACGGTAGTACGGGCAGATAAATGTACTATTGATTTCTCTCACCCCTTAACACCGACATACGTATTATACTTTGTTGTTAACCGATGCGTTTGCGAGAAGTGGTACGAGCTGTTCGGAGAGCTGTCCTATTGTCACCTGGAACGCCGCCTGTTTCTCCTCTAACGCGACGACCTTGTGTTTGAAGCAATTTAAATTAATGTCGCGTGTATCCCCGCGCGCATGCAACTGATGTACTGAAATGAAAATTTAATAGCGGATATGGATCACATTTGATATTTACCCTTTCCAATAGTTTGCTGTAGAGAGCATACGGAACGTAGGCCGGCTTATCGGACGCGCTAGGACTGTGATCGCCGTGCGACGGGCTCGTTTCGGCTCTCGGGCTTTTATCCTTCTGTTTATTATCCTCGTTATCGGTATCCGGCTTGTTAGCGGAATCCACGGCATTTCCTTGTGCCAATCTAATGAGCGACAAGACAATGTACATTATATATTTCCGCGAGTGGATTTAAAAAAGAGTCGTGGAAAAATCGAAACCTACCGCGAGAAATTTCGTTCCTTCTTAACTTCCACCTTGTCGACTCGATCCACCGTGGCGATTTTTCTCCTCTCCATTTTCTCCTGATTAATCTTCAATTCTTCGACCTGCAGGGGACATCGACAACGGTATTAATAACAATTAAACGCATATTCTTTTTATTTTATCCCTAAGAGTGGCGCATTACCCATGGTGCTTTTCTCCTCGCTTTCGCCGCAAGCCCGTCCGTTTCCTCGTCAGGTATTTGCTCCAGCGTGGTATCGGTGCGTCCATTAGACAGATTGTCTTCCTACAAATTATAGAAGCTATTAGAATTAAAATCTATATTTTTACTTAGAATTTAATAAAGAACGTCAAAATTCTTTTTTTTACCGTGCTGGAAATGGCTGGCAGCGTCGAGGATGCGCTCACCCCGGTTCCGGCGGCGTGATGGCGTAGATGCTGCGACGAGGGTGGACGTCGCCGTGGCGCCTTAGCGCGAGAGGCCGTCAAATGCGCGAGCGGAGTGCCCTCCCCACGTTCCACGCCGTCCAGTTCCTCGCGACACTCGGACGCGGTGCTTGTCGTGCCGCTGATACCGTTATTATTCCCCACGTCGCTCACGAGACGCTTCAGGCTCGATATAATCGAGTGGCCGCCGGCCGTCTTCTTATCGCCGCTTCCGCTTCCGGTAGCCGTCAATGACGACGACGACGACGTCGAGGTGGACGACAGTGTGGATAGGCCCTTCTTAGCGGTGTCTATAACGGGGAAATGATCTGGCAAAATACGAAGGGTTACACTCGCGCGAAATAGAAGTATCGCTTTCGATATGAAAACAGTGTCTCACCTGATATATTACTTGAATGTAGATTCCTGGTGTCCAGACTTCTTCTAACGTGCGCCTTCTCGACCTTTTTCACTTGATGGGAATGTCTAACACTCGACTTCGCGCTCAGCGACGTTGTTTCGTGCCATTGGGACTCTTGTTCCTGGGACTCGTTCTTCGTACCAATCATCTCGACGAAATTGTCGGGAAATAGGCCCACTTGTCCCTTCAATTCTCCTTTCCACCAACCCTAAATTATAAAATAAATTATTCTACATATTTAATATATTAATTAATTAAATGTATTACTGCAGTCATTATCTTGTTTCTTAATTCATTGATGCTAATCAGATGGATTATAAACCTTATCTGGCGCGTCCTTGGATAAGACAGAGATTACATCTCCCTCGACCAGAGTAAGCTCGTCCTCGTTGGCAGCCTCGTAGGGAAAGAGCACCCTGCACAACTCCTTTTTATCTCCTCGCTCCTTGTGCCTCTCCTGTTCCTCGGGAGCTGGCGGGGAGACAAAGTTCGAGGGAAACACGCCGACTCTGCCTCTGAGACGACCCCTCCACCATCCCTCCTCGACCTCCCCCAAGAATTCTATGGAGTCTTGCGGCACTAGAGTCAGCTCGTCCTCGTTACAGGGATCGTAACTGAATAGGACCTTGCAGAAACGTCTACCGGCTCCATTTCTCAGGGTCACACTCTCGTCGGATTTCGTGCTGCTTACGGTCTCGCTGCCGTTGCTTCCGCTAGCGAAACCGGGGTCCAATACCTGCATGCCAGACATTTCCGCGTGAGAATCTATGAATACGTATGGATGTGATAAATCACAAAAGGGATGTGATCCGATGCGTAAATACCTTAACAAAATTATCAGGAAACATCCCACGCTTGTTCCTCAGAGTGCCCTCCCACCATCCACCGAGCATCATCTTGATCTCAGTGATGATGTCACCCTTCTTCAGTGTCAACTCATCGTCCTCCTGCGCCACATAATTATACTCCACTATCGCCTCCATGACTGAGCTAGAGCAGTCCCGAGAACAGTCGCCGAGTGTGTATTCCTGCGAAAAAGCGGCTGTAATACAACGCGACGAGACGGCACGGAGTTTCGATCGACTCTGAACTGGTTTTGTGATTATCTCGGCGCCGACACGCCTCGGCTACGATCGACTGACGCGCGCGGAGCGTCGCGCGAGAGTCTCCGCGCGGGAGGAAGGAACAAAAACGGGGTCGCACGCGCGGAAGCGGACGTTGTAACGCGCGTGTAAATACGTACGGGTTACGAGGTGACGTGCGTTCTCGGGCTGCCTGGGTGCGTTTCTGTCTGACGGACGGTCCCGAGCGAACTCGCGTACTCGCGCATCGCAACGCGCGGGGCTCCGACGCGACGCAGCGCAACGCGCAACGCGGGCGATTTGCGCGACGCGACGCGCGGCGCGGACACGGCCCGCCGCGTGACACGGAATTCGGGGCTTCTTTAGGATCCCGGGCGGAGTTGACAGCTCCCCGTATCTGTCACCGCGGCCATCTTAATACGCTCCGGAGCACCACGGTTGCTCAGGCAGCTCCGATCTCCGGGGCGAAGTGGTGCGCATGCCACCTGCTCTAGAGGCCGTCGACATCGGACGCGCGCCGTCCACCGCCATGCTCGGTCGAATGGCGGAACGAGCGGCGCGTGTTGCCCGTGCCTGACGTACGCCACGATTTTTCACGGGTTCGAAGATGTTCGCCCTTTAATCTTGGAATCCAGCGGCGACTCGGCGACTCGGCGTCGCGTCGAAGCCCGTTGCAATGAGAAATTCAACTTGGGACGAGACGAAAATATTTTATCGTCAGTCGTTCGCAACTACGATTGCGGCACGTTTGAACGCGGAGGAACATGGCGGAGCGGCCGGATTCTTCCGACTCTCGGGACTCTCGGGGCGCTCGTACGAGATGCGCCTCGGCTCATCTGCCTGCGTGATTCATCTCTCGACGCGACGCGCTTGTTTGAATGGACGCGCGTCGCTTGCCGTTAATGTGAGTCATGACGCGCACGTGCCTCAAGATGCAATCGTGCGGCGATTGTAGTCCGCGCACGTATATCCCTACCTCGCATTACTGTTTCAGCACAAACAAAACAGATCCACAAATTCGAAAGATATGTGCTTTCCGTTCTTCGTCATTTAAATGTCCCTCGAGGAGGAGAAACGGAAGGTTGACCAAAGACTATTATTTATACCTGGGTCCTTAGAAATATTTTTATTTTTTCCTCATATGCAGAATGCAAGAAGCGGATTCTCTTCGATAAAGCATCTGTCTTCTTCTCGTTGATCGTCGACGGTCTTCTCTCTCGTTTAATTTCCACCCGTCGTCACGGGCACAATCGCGATCTCGAACGTCGAATGACGTGACACACACGCGACTGCCGGCCTACGCGCGTTCCACGCGTATCGCGGACGGACTCGCGCAATTTGCGAACGTGACAATCCGCTAAATCCCGCCGTCGATTAACTCGCGCGGAGCGGAGCGAGCGCGCGTTCTCCATTCCGAAGGAGGAGAGGAGACGCCGCGCAATGTGTGTGCGCGCGCGGTATGTATATATACCTACCTACCTGTCAACCGGGTATCCTGCGCGCTATCTCCGTCGGCTTCCTGGTGCGTGGCGATATTCAGCGCGGGCGCTCAGGTGGAAAACGGTGCCGTGTACTCCACCATTTTCAATGCGCTGATTCACGCTGATAATCGCTCGCGCGGCGCCTTATCGCCGAAGACTATCGCGTATATTGGCGACGCGCGGCGAATACCGAAGGCGTCGCATCGGACGTGTGTGTGTGTATGTGTGTGTGTGTGTGTGTGTGTATGTGTGTGTGTGTGTGCGCGCGCGCGCGCGCGCGTGTGTCGTAACGTTTGAGCAATTCGTTTAACACACTCGGGTCACGCACTTGAAGAACCGTTGCATTACGATGCCGAAGCCTCACTTTCCTCCTTACTTTTGTCAAGTATGAGTAATCCGCTTGTTTCCTTCGCCCCGCTTGTCTTCTTTGTTTCCCGCTTTATTTCTCTCGTTCCACTTGACCTTTTCGTGCAGCTTAATTCTAATAATAAGCACTGACTAATTAAAAATTTGTTATCCTTCTCTCTGTTGTGTATCTTTATTTATTATTGATTCAAACATCGATTGAACGAACTGAACAAATTGTTTCTCTACAAGCCTACTTCTTTTTTTCCGCTTTATTTCTTAGATGATAAACATCGACTAATTTAAAAATTTGTTTTCTTTTTCTCTCTTTTTTTTTAGTGTCACAAAATTATCACGATAGATCTTTCACTCCGATAAGAAGAAAGCGTAGCGTGTCATAGGTAAAAAGTGTGTATCTTTATTTATTATTAATTCAGACATCGAGTTGAACAAGTTGTTTCTCTACAAACTTAAAAACTTCTCTTATACACTTATACATTTAGATAATCGATCGCGAAGGTTGAATTAAATTTATGTAATAACATGATGAGACCATTATTGAGGGGTGTGGTGATAAAATGACAAATGAAACGCTTGTAAAAGCTATATCGTTATATCATACGTTTAACATCTCCGTATTTATCTCCCCGGGGTGATCGGGCAAAGTCTTCTTTCGCTTTACAAAATCGGTGAAAAGTAATTATACACAAATCGCGCGAAACAAACTCAAACTCTTAATTAACTCATTGAGCATCGAGAAGTTTGGAACAAATTTTTGCGAAGAACGCTTAAAGTTGGTTTGGTCTCAATTAAAGAAAATTGCCAGCCGAAACTGTTCGCCCGATCAGCCACATTCTATCTCTATATATCTTAACAAGATTCGTCATAAAAACACAGCTGACTACCTATCGTAAAACTTTCATCGTATCGTTGAAAATCGCAAAAGTTGTTGAGAAAATCGAGAGCTAGGAATTCGCAGAGCCGTAACTAGAATATAAAGTGAAACTAATAGATATTCGATTTTGTACAATCTAGAGAGACAAAACTGTAGAACACGCCAAATTCTATAAATTTGTAGAGATTTTACAAAATCGGGGATCTCTACAGATCTAAGAATACAATTTAAAGACCCGTGCGAGTACGAAGAGTGAATGATTCCGGCGCGAATACGTGTGATCCCGATATTCCGTCACCCATATTTTTTTCGTGAAGTTTCGAGGACAGAGTTGACGGGACGATTGATAAGACGCCGTTCGTATCGGATTCGCGATACGCGAAAAGGAAACGCTAGTTACGGCGCTGCACGCGCGCGCGCATTATATATACGTGGCAGGCTCAACTAATTGTAAGTCACGTAAAAAGATTCTTCTCTTCAGAGAAAACCCTCTTCTCTTCAGCCGAAGACCAGCTTCGGACGAGAAATCAAAGCACTTCGATGAAGGCGAACGAGCCAGCGTCCCTCAAAAGAAATTCATACAAGCGACTCTACCGTCCACGTGGGCGACGTCGTTTCTTACAAATTGACTCCTCTTTTTGTTTTTCTTTTTTTTAAATTATTTTCTCCACATCTCTCGCGAGGAAACAAGCACCCGCAATCTCAAATAAAAATTCTACATTCGAATGCTGATTTTACGTATTTATGATGAATTTACGCAAGAAGCGTTTCTATTGCGCCTCTCGACTTTTCGCGCCGTCTTTTCTTGGCTAGAGAAATTCATTTTTTTAAAAGGATAATATCAAGTTCTACGGATGCTTTTTCTCGCTATAAACAATCCGCAAAACGAAAATTAACGAATGTATAATCTTGACAAATCACGCGCGCATTTAAAGAAGAGTCGACGAGAATAGAGCACATCCTGGCTTTCCTAATCGCATCTAATCTCCGTTAATCCAAGGTTTCCCAAACTTTTGAGATATATATACACTGGTCCTCGGACAACAATACAGACATTCGGTTCGTCCAAATTTCTATAATTGAATTTAAAAGAAATCGTTAAATTTTTCTTGCCACATTAATTTTCGGATAACCGCGATTGCAGTCATTTAAAAGCGATTTAAACGAAATCTCATTTAACTGGGCGGAAATACATTTCGTTGTTTTCTGCATCATTTTTAATCTTGAAAAAATATGCATCGAAAAAATTCAGCCCACGTCCGCATTTCAAGTTTGGGAAATCCTGATTGCTAATTAAAGGGCACATGTAGGTTGCTTAGCGAACGAAATAATTGAATTTTCCACGTTTTTATACAAATACGTCGCGATTTATAAATATATAAAAGCAACAAATATATATCATTGTTATTCGTGTGTGTATATATATATGTATAATACATATATGTATATATATAATATAGTCTCGCACAAATGGTACAAAGCCTATGCCGTAAAAACTAATTACGTTTATAGGATTGCGGCTGAGAAAACAAACCGTGTGTGCCGTGACGATCGCTATTCCGTTAACGTGGCGCGATTCGCGAAGTTGATCTCATTTCGTCGCTACAATGTCGATCGATCGCGCGACGGATATAGTGCGCTTCTCGTCTCGAGAGTGCATGCGCTCTTTGGAACATCGGGCCGCGTCGCGCGATGCAAGCCCGCGATCGCGCGTGCTGCAAGCGTGCGAAAAAGCGCGAACCGCGGACTCTCGCAAAGGTTATTTTCTCGCGAACGCGCCCTCAATACCATCGCACCGCCCAGGAGAGGATCGCGGGACTCACAAGATTGCCGTTCGCAATGCAGTTCCGAACTGCGCCTGTGAATGCAGCCTGAAGCGGAATCGTGAATTCGTTATTGTGTATACAAACCGGAGATCGTATAGGGGTGAACGATCGTTCGCGATTCGCCAGAAGAGACGAGAGACTCGATTTTTATGAGATATATTATACTTATGAATGAGAAAACAATACAATATACCGCAAGTATCTTATCGATTCTCCCTCGTGTAATCCCAGAAGATACAATATCCACCTCGGGGCGACTAATAAATCGAGATTTTAATCGTAGCTTCAATCGGGCATCTGATCGCATTATCTTCCCACTAGTTTCCCTTTGATCGATCATAAAGCGATCCGTTACGATATCTCGTGCAACGTATTTCTTATCTACCTTCCCCTTTGTCTTTATTTTCTTTCTTATAATCACTGATAGGCACAATAAAGGCTTTTACGTTTCTGCCAGCGTAAATGAGAAGTACGTATGGTGAAAGTGATTTTATCAAAAGGCCGATAACGATTCTATGTTCGGTTAATTGTGGCATGAATCTCGATGCAATAAATACAAATAATATTTTCTGAATAATATAAGAAAAGTATTTCTTGTAATGTGAAAACGACATGTGAATAGGACTGGAGAAAGTTCAATCAAACCTAAAGAATAAATTTTTATAACAAATCTTCTTGCGGTTGAAACAGTTATACGTTATTGTATGGTTTATATTGTATATGTATATTCTCAATTATTAGGTACAGCCGTAAGTATAAAGCATCTTTAATTTATTGCATTTTCTTGGAAAAGGCAGTAATAAAAGTTAAAGCAGAATTCAGAATATTATAATTTTTATAAAAATAAATATCATTGTTCAATAAAACTGTTTTTTAAATTTATTTTTCGTTATATATAGAATGTTTGTGGAAGTGCTTTATACTTATGGCCAACGATGTATTTTAGATTCTTATCCTTTGATTTATTTTCCAATCCCATTTACTATGACATAATCAATAAATTTTCCCGACAAACAAACGTATCGATTGGAAGAATTTCTAAAAAAGAAACGAGAACCTCGATTTTATATGTTCGTTTCTCTCTCGACATGTAAAAATTAGAGAGATTAAATCTGCATCATTTAAGTTTAATCGAATGATTTACGCTACGCGTTAAAACGTGCACGTATTGCAGTATTGTGTTACATGGCAGCTATAACATAATTTCTCTCTCTCGCGGCTTTTATAAATCATCCTCTGGCCGCAAATATGGCTCGTGAAAAATGCAAGGACGCTATTGTCCTCTTTTTTTTCGTACGACTATTAAGTGCTCCATTTCTTTAAATGCTAAACAAAATTGGTGCTGCAACATTCTGTGGTAGAATGTATATTGCGTTTATCGCGAAACGCCGCCGTTCGTCGAACATAACGCGAATCATCGAAAAAGTTCCATCACGATTATCAAAGCGCATTAATTAAGCGTGGATTATCACGGGTGTGCATCGATATGAAAGGTTTGATATACAGATGTCAAGTGCTCGTCCAGTATATCGATTCAGCCTCGTTTCGAGAAACTTCACTTCAGGCTCTGAGAACATCATTTTTTATTATGAACACATGAATGTCGGCGGTCCTTTCTTGGACCTGAACGGCATTCGCTAGTCTTACGCTACACCGTTTTCTCAAGGCAGAAGGAAAGTTTTATTCAACATCGATGTCCATGTTATTTCTTTTAAAGAAAGCCTGGCGTGCAGCAGTGCAATAAATCGCGGTTTCTTTGGTATATATTTAGTTGAACGAAACTTTTTAGGATATTCCAGAATGTTTCCTTGAATATTAAACAGTCGTCTCTCTTAAGTTTGCTATTTTCAGCACGAAATATTTGCGTAACTTTAAAATTAGATCGAGATATTTTGAATTTTTGTTATCTACGTTTAATTTGTTAAACTCCTTTAACTTCGGAAATCACGTGTTTGTAAAAAAATAAAAATTATTCACATCTCGACATTAAAACGAAGTCTATTCCTCGTAGTTTGGTTGTTCGCTTCGAATACCCGACATCAAAGAAACATTTACGCAAACTTTGGCATCTGTGCATCAAATGATCCCGACGTAATCGCGCAAGCTCCTCCCCTGAGGGAGCAGCCCTGGTCCTCGTTGAGAGACATCGGTAGTAATCGCAAGTCTTATATAGTAATATCGTTTTTTTTTTTAGACGGTAATCACAATGCGCTTGATGATGTCTTTCCTCGCATAGACATACTAGAATAGTAAATACGTCGACCGTTGCGAAAGTGTGTCGCCTTAATAGCATCGAGAGGATGTTTTCCTTTTTAGTTAGGCCTCATACCAAGCGAATCTAATTGAACGTTCTTAAACTGCTTATGATACCCAATGAATGCGAAAGTTCGATTCGCGAAAGTCTAATATCGGCGAGACTTTTCCGAATAATTGTTCGTAGACAGATACACACGTCTCGCGAGCCATTCGAGAAAATCTTGTCGAAACTCCCGTGTCTCGTGACTCTCAGCTAATAGTCTTTTCTCTCCCGGCTGATCCGCTATAATAACTCGATGGATTTACGTCAAACTACTCGCGCGGAGCAAAAGTCACTCGGTTCACTCGGAAGAATTAACCGAGATGTTCATGAAACCGGCCTGTCCGATTAATCAGATCAGAATTGTCGACGCGTCTCTCTCTCTCTCGATGATGCGTTCAGGCATTCCGATTACCTCGTGGCATAGAGAGAGATTTCCGTCGAATCTCTCTACATTTACACGCGAAACGTGACTAACTCGCGCCGCTATAAATAGACATCTACGACGTGTAATCATTATACGCGTATCATAGATAAACTTTGCGATAGTCTCGAATGTATAGCTCGGGCCTAACCGTAATGTGCGTGTACGTGTGTGTGTTTTCGGATTATCCGGAGCGAAAGCTCGTGCCTGTCGCACGGGCGACAAATGTTTCCTACGGCGTTCATCACGACGGCGATCCTGCAGGATCGCGGCGGATCTCATTTTTCTCGCGCTACTTCGGCGTTACGCCGTCGTGTCGTCACCCGCGGGCTCTCGCGCGTGTAATAGGGTGCAGGGTTTCACGAGATAATACCTATAATATCCGTTGCGATTATTGCGGATGATGTTTTGGTGGTACGTTGTGAATACTTGCCCGGGTCACCCACTCGCCGGGTGTACAAACACCTCTCGCGTCGTCCAAGGTCGAATTCCGCCCGACGACGACCGACTCGCGACTCGCGTTGCGTATATGTACAGGTATAGAGATGAGCGATATTCCTCCCCCTCCCCCCTCGTGCGCACGATGAACAGATGAAATCCTTTGTGTTCCCGGGATTTAATTCTTGGCTAGCCGTCGAAACTTGCAACCGGCCGGATGAGACCAGCCGCGATCGTCCACCGAACTAACAGCTGCATCTCCAGGCGTCACCTTGCTGAGACGGTGACTGCGCCTTAATTATACTGTCCGCGCCTTCTCTCTCGGAAGCCTCGAACAGGCTCGCCTGCAACAGCAATTGTTCATTGCGCTCGAGAAAGCTCGGTCCCGTTAAGTTTGCAGTCAAAAGATAAGAGCGGAGATAATTGTTTCGTTGAAATCTCTTCTATATTGTAAAAGGGATCCGTAAGAAGAGTTTCCGCTTCAATTTATTTGCTGCAGAATGCAATTATGCTTAACATAGGAAGGACAGTTTTTAAATACTTGGAAAAGTTTGTTAAATCATGCGGGAATGTAATAGAAACGTTTTTTTGCGTATAGCAATATCAAGTTGGATTCTTACCCGGCGGCCCCGCTGTTCCCGTATTCTTCTAGCCAGAGTGAGAAAAGCCTCCTCGATGTTGATGTTCTCCTTGCACGACACCTCGAAGAAGGGCATATCAAAGTTCTCGGCGATCTTCTGACCCCTCTCGGCGTCCACGGCGCGATGCGCGGTCGCGTCGCATTTGTTCGCCGCCAAAACTTTTACTACGTCCGGTGACGCATTCTGTGATGCAAACGACGGAATTGCTTATGATTCACGATCACTCTCGTATTGACAATTCATTGCATACAGACGAACTTCGCGAATCGATCCCGGAAACATTCTCTCGTGAGATTAATTTCCTAATGTGTTCAAAGCTTCAATTTACTGAATCCCCGATTTAACATGTTCGATTCGATTCGCTGTACGTACAGCTCATAATCTTTTAACATATTTTATCAACTTTCCCCACCTCGAGTCGTTTTCGGGTCGTGATTTTATTCAAGCGGTTTCTCTTTAGCACTTTAAATTCTGAACTTCCTAAGGTCGCTTTAAACGCGGCCATTTAAAAAGTAATACGCCGCGAGTCTATTTCCGTTCGCGTAACGTTCTATCTTTAGAATCGATTTTATAAATCTTACTTCTTGGATATTTCGCAGCCAATACGACAGATGGTTGAAACTCTCCAGACTAGTGACGTCATACATCAAAAGGATACCCATGGCACCACGATAGTATGCCGTTGTTAAAGTTCGAAATCTTTCTTGGCCGGCGGTATCCCTTTCAGAAAGAAAAGATGCATTCACAGATATACTTCCTGCTACTTTGTTTTGTTTATACACGACTTATCATTTACATGCAAATTATATGCTTTAAAAAATTCCGAGGAAACTAAAAATAAAAATTACTCCGATTTTTACTTTAATTTTAAGAGCATTAAGTTATTGATTACTTTTTTTATTTTAAAAGTAAAAACTAAAATTTTTCGAGAAAGAAATGATGATGAAAATTAAATGATTTCCTCATTTAATTTTCAAACGTTACTTGACGATCTAATTATCTATTAAGAACTCGCGAGAGAGGACTAATTAATACTCACCAGATTTGCAATTTAATCGGCGTTCCGTCTAAATTAATGATCTTCTGTTTGAAATCAATACCTGCGAATATATTCGCCACATATGTCATCATGCATAAATACTTTTCGAGATACTTAGATATTGAGGAAATTCTAAAGTTCAAGTAGAATCAACGACTCGTGATACACTTCAATTATGTTTGTAGCACGGAACAATTAGATGCTATCACTAATTAGATGGCCATTGCAACAGTTTATACACCAGAATTTCATACGTTTCTCGCGTGCAAATAGGATGATTAAAGCCTTATGTATACGGGAGAGCTGAATTACTTTTTGTAACGGAGAACACGGAATAGTTAATTATAGATATAGACATTTCCGTATAAGCGAGGATGTATCTTCGCAACATTTTTATAAATTACAACGATCTGTATCGAGACAATTGCCGGAAATATTTTCGGCCCGGCAGTAAGTTCAAAATTAGATAGTTGCATCGCGACGTCGGAGTTGGGGCGGATGCGACCGGATAATCAGCTGATCGATGCTGACTCAATATACATTCTACGGAATACATAAATAAGCCATCGTTCGCGATCAATTGACAAGTTTTGCTAAGTTTAATGAATAGAGTAATTATTATACGTTTATTTAAAATGTAAATAATATTAAATTTGAAGGGCCAAAAAACAAAAAAACCAAGCTGTGACTCTGCTTCTCATTATTTCGCGACAAATGGAAAGGATAAGGACGATGCATTAAACGCGTAAAATTAGAGCGACAGTCAAAGAAATAAATTAAATAAAAAAATGACTTTCAAACTGCAGGTGAGATTTTCATTGGAGACAAAGACGTGACCTCATCGATACTAGGGCTTAATTAACGACTACCTGTGTCAATCGATGTGCGGGACCGTATCCAGGGCAAAATTAAAACGCGTGACTTTATTGTTATTGTTACCGGGAAAGACGAGTTGTCGGAACCAGTCGCAACTGGCGCCAATGACACGTCACGATGATCACCCAACAACAAGTCGCTGAAACGGATCGACGGCGGTCGGGCCGCGGGTGAGAACGGGTGACCCGGTGTTATATTTTATTTACGATATACGTACGCATAACGCGTGTCTCCTCACCTATCGTCGAGATGTAAGTGTCGTAGTACCGTTCGTCGCAATAGCGATGCACGATGCAGGTCTTGCCGACGTTCGAGTCGCCCAGCACCAGGACCTTGTACGTCGCTGCGAAATCCAACGCCATGTTTGCCGTGGGTCTCGGGCGGTTTTGAACTGTTGTTGGGTCGACAACAGAGTCGTCGGCCGGGGGTTGTTCCTCGCGGACGCCCGAAGGCGGCGGGGGAAACGAGGGGGTGGAAGATCGATTCGAGGCTTGCGCTTTGGCCCCCTGTATAAGGTAAAGGGGTTGAAGGCGTCCTCACAATCGTCCGCGACTTTTCGTCGCTCATGCGCGGGCTTTCGCAGACGTTGAAAGAGCTCGCGGTGTGAAGAGACGCGCGACGTAAAGCGCGCGGTCACTGTGTGCGTGCCTCGAAGATGAGGCCGAGGATCGACGGAACGACGAGACGGTGTCTACCGGGAACAATATGCAGCTCCCGCTACAGTCGTATATATGTATAATACATGCAACATACGAGAGAGAGAAAAGAACGCAAGAGAAGACTGCTCTTCTATTTTTACGTTTCTCCCTCCCCCCCTTCCTCTCTCTCTCTCTCTCGTGCGCGCGCGTCCGAGTCTCTTTCTCATGTATAATAAAATCTCACGCGCCTTGCGGAATAATTCGATCCGTCGGGCGCGAGAGTTCGACGATCTGCGTGAAGGATCTGCATGTACGCCGCGGGGACGTAATAGGGAAATGATTAAGCAATTATCAGAAATTAGGCCGCTTTATTTTATTCAACATTACCAATCGGACCGAGATATCTTTTTTTTCTGACAGAAATCGTCAGATTATATAATTATGTATATCGACAATTGCAATATTCCTCCTACGCTCCATTCGATAACAAAATACCATGGGAATCAAATTCGAAAATTTATAAACGTTCGACCGTTCTCCACGATCGATTTACTCTACGTATCGCAATACACTATTTTGTCTTTTTTTTTTACGTGACGAAATGTCTACCTCTCGAGTACGCTACGATCATGTCTATAATAAGTTATCCCTAAGAATTAGGTAAAATGACGCGTGTAACTACTCAAGTACTTTTCGGGAATGGCTTTGTCGTAAAGTATATGTCCTGCAATAAATATATGTGTATATATGTATACACATGTAACAATAATAAAATTAGTTTTGATATTTTGGTGAATTCAAGCCGCACTCGTTAATCAGGTCACCATATCTACCAGGATATGTGTCCTGCTGCACAGATAATATTGCATGTTATCCATCCAAGATCGTTCATCCTTTAGTCCAAGTAAACGAGCTTCTAATTACCAGATTAGAAGTAATATGTCAACGCGCTAGCATTGTATACGACGTTAAAAAACTAGCAAATCGATATTATTGTTAGCGATATTGTTAGCGTGTGTAAATTCCTTTTTCTTTGCATTTTAAATGAGAACTCTTGAAGTAACAATCTTGCGTTTTGTCGTTAAAATACACGAAACTGCGGTTTCCCTTCGCCATTGCTTATCGCCTTAGTTAACAATAATCATATAAATAACATATTACGTGTAGGCACTTTAAGCATTATAATTTGTATAAGAAGTTTAGGACACTATTTTTTTTGGTTAGCATTGCCTGTAAGTTGTACGCGATCCTGCCTGCCACGATAACGTCTTGCTTACGTAGGCTATCTACATGATATGTTCTTAATTAAATGTAATACTTAAATTCACTTATTTGTTAGAGTTAGACGCTACCGCGCTCGCAGCCTATAAAGCATATCCTAAAATTAAAGCAGTTTTAACGACAACAAAGTCTTCACCTGACGCAACTTCTTCCGTTGGCAAATCTTGTATAAAGACTCGCTCGAAAGGTTTCATATAAATATTAATAAATAATAGAATAGAGCGCTTAGTTCACGTGAACAATAAGGTACATAATAAACGGCACCGGTAACTTGAAACTCAAGAAGATGCATGCAATTCAAGTTTCAGTCAAAAATTCTTTTTAGAACACATTCGTTAATAATACTATCACGGAGCAAATCCACGGGAACAATCTGTGACATATGAAAAATTCATATCGTGTTCCCGCGGTAAAAATCGACAATGTCACAAGGACTAGAGACGAGAGACGTTTTTTTTTTGGCGTTCGCGTTAGACCGAGCTTTTCGCATCGCGGAAACAATTTTCCGCTTTCAGGAAGAACGTTTAAATTAACGAAGGCCATTTCTCGGAGGAACGGAATCGAATCGCCGCCCATTCCGCGAAATTAATACGCTGCCCTCGACGATGTCGCATTACAATAGAAACGACCAGATGCACAATCCGATCATCACGATGCTCGACATGTACGCTAACGAGTTAGGAAGATGGATACTGTAAATACTTTCTCGTTTGATCAGCCACAACGGAACGACGACTTGGAGGATATCCGGTATCATGAAGCCCAGATCGCGTATCACCTTCGTGCACAAATTAAAGAAACAAGTTACGAAACGTTATCCCCTTCAATTATCACTCGTAGATTCCTTACCTGGTGCGCGTGACCCTCCCCTCTGACGACATTCTCGAAAAACTGATCCCATCCGCCCGCCACGATGTGCAGAAGGGCTATCGCGGCGATGCCGAACGCCTTTCTGTGAGTTATGGGATTCTTCTTGTCCGCGAGAGACACCACCCAGGCGGTGGATATCAGCTCGGTGATGGTGAAGAACAGCTGATGATACCATTGAGAGTAGAAGTCGTCGTTCCAATAATTAATGTAAACCCACCACGAGTAATAATTGGAGAACAGTGCGGTCGAGAAGAGGAGCATCATGGACTGCCTCAGTCTCTGCTTCATCGCCAGTTTCGCCAGATACTTCATCGTCTCGTAAAACGCGATCACGCCGATGACGACGAGTATCCATATTTTCAGCATGTTTGAAGTGGCGTTGAAGTACATGTGTTTATAGGGAGCGATACCGGATTCGTACGAGCCTGTGAAGAAATCAATTTATATAATTGGGTCTGCGATTTAATAAAGTATATCTGTAGAATTTTCAACAAATGTTTGTTACCTTTAAAGACAGTGTCCCAGCAGGAGCAGGAGCAGTACCGTTTATCCACGACCCTCGAGTAATCCTGCCAGAAATAATATAAAATTGCGATCTGCAGTGGTGGAATTGTCAAGGGCCCTATCATGCCCACGAATCTCGAGCCGCTCGTCGCGATGTTTCTGCACAAGGTACGCTTCAGCATCTTTAGTAGAGCCATGGTACGTCTTGATTGACGAATCAACCGATATTACGAATGAACAGATAGCAATGCGGAGTGTCGTTTTATGTCAACAAATGGAACGCTCCCCCTTATCACATACGCTGCTGTCATTATCGTAGATAATAATAATAGCTCTGTGCGTTGGCATTTGTGGACTCATTGAGTTGAGAAACTCAAAGATAACACATAAACACTTTAACGGAAATACCTCTAATTATATTTTACAATATTTCGTATATGAATCTGACTTTCACTTTGGCGAACGCTATCATCCTCTTCACTTTACGTAAACGATATCTCTAGCTGTGCATCTTTTATACAAAATCATAATCCTTTGCATTAACATCCCTGGACATTTTTCAAAATTAATATACAGTGAAACAAAAGTGAACGGACTCTACAACATAGGATATAGTTTAATTCTTCTAACATATAACGAGTCCTCGGGTATGAAACGGCAGGTAATAAACAAAAACTCAAACGAAAAACTGTTCAACACATGTTTATTGCAACAGCACGTGCTTATTTCACACAATGCGCATTGTTATTTGTGCGCCACACGGTGAAAACTGGCGTGGAGGTTCCGTCGGCCCTTCGAGGGATTTCTCGGCCGTTACGTCATAGCGATTAACGTGCTCATTTGGGCGGCAGCGGGCTGCAACCGCGTCGTCGGTGCGCTCCGAGAAGGGCACCCCCACGACTTCACATGTCAACGAAGTCGACGACTTCACGTGCAGGACCGTTTAATCCAGGAATGGACGGCCAGAGAAATGGAGCAAGCAGCCCGCTGCCGTATCCGTTAGAAAACGCCATCTTCGTGCTCCAAGTTATTTGGCGGAAACTCTTGCTTCGAATGGCAGGAAGTAGCGAGTGCAACCCGACTGCAGATACAAATTGATTCATAGTCAATTAAAGCGCAGATAAAAATGTTGAAATGTAAACGTTAAAATTGCATCTTTTTCTCCGACTCGATTTAATATATTTAAAATTGCAAATATTATTGTTAAATAAAAGCAAGACTTCAAGTTGAAGTCTGAAGTATCGACTACCATTAATTCAGTGTTCTGTTCCGTTAGTACGCGATGATTTCTGCTAGATGATTCTATTTTGATGTCCGATCTTAATTCAATTTCCAGACGATTATTTTGTCTATATCGAATATCCGCGAATAAAAAAAATTATGATACAAAAATGTTTGATGTTATATGAACATTGTTACAGTTCATATATTGCATAGCTTTCTTCCATTATTTTTAACCTAAACCTAAACTTCAGTAATTTCAATAAAAACATTTCTCTTGGAAAAATTGCAATAATGATTTATTGAAAAATTTATAAATAGAAGTGATAAAGGGTATCACTTATCTCGTATTTGTGTTATATTATTAGAAAAGACGATTTTCCTAGACTGCTTCTGACAATTATCTTACTTTCAATTTACATAAGATTCGAAAATGCCAAAAAAATACAGAACTAAAAGCTTCCAATTGTGTCATTGTTGTCACAAATGGCGCTGCCAATGTCTGGTGCCACGAAAAGAGAAACCCCATCCTCCCTTTAACAGCGGAACAGAGCCAGGTAGCAAAATGGGCTTGCATCCCAAACTGAAGGCGCTTGTGCCAACGTCGCCAGCTGTGGGTTCTTACCATCCTCGACCGATCGATCATAAATCCTTAATTATTAGGTAAAATACAATCCCGATCTATCTCGAAATCGCACAGGGAGTTTCTAATAAGTAGGACAAATCATGTTACAGTTGGCGAAGACAGCAAGAAACAGAAGAATTTTCCGCCGCGATGAGCAGGTTGGCAAAGGAAATTGAGGACAAGAAGAGCATAATAAAAATCGATCGCGGACCCGCAAGTTATGATATACTTCGCTGGCCAGAAAGGCCAGTTATAGACGCTTTAGGCGAACCTTGTAAGAGTTTGCGAATGGATGTTGGTTTCGGGACCGTTCCGCAATTCCAAACGATTTACAAATCCACCACGCCCGGTCCAGGTTGATAACATCATCTTCCGAAAAAATAAATCAAATTATCTCGAGAGAAAATTAGAACACACTTGCTTCTATTTTTCTGCAAGATTAAAACAAAATTTTCTAAACTTAAAAAGGAGAATTTTAAAAGAAAGGTAAAATCTTATTTTATCTTTCTTTCAAAATATATATAGCTTGATATATCATATCGTAACATTCTCATAAAAATTTAAAATTTCTTAAAATTTTATTTACGAAAAGTCTCTGAATTATGTTTTAATTAACAATCGTTTTATACTCTTATTATATTTACAATTACCTGGTTGACGTCCCTTATCTTTTTAAGGATACACACTGAGAACGCACAATCCCTTTTTCTTTTTGGATCAAAAAAGGTTACAAGATTTTTCCCATACACCTTCATTTGAGTACGACAATTTAGCTCCCAGATTCCGAGAAACTATAAGTACCTGCAGGTCTTTACCATGCAATAGGTAAAGTGAAAAGTCATCTTTTATATTCCACCTTTCTCCCTCTTAAATGTTATTTTATTTTTCTGTTTTTAACATTATAAAAGAATCGATTTTTACAATAGATACAATGTGAAACATCCAAATTCACTGCAAGTCTACCTTGAGAAGGTCACAAGCAAGAGGGGACCTTACGATCTTTTCACAGGTAACAAAATGAAATTTCTTCAAAATATGTGCGTTTTCACTAGTGTCTAAAATAATGTGTGCACATTTCACAAATGTATTTTGAAATACACTTCAAAATACAATTTAGATATAGATTGAAAAAGCTTGCTCGATATATAGCTCGATATATCATATCGTAACATTCTCATAAAAATTTGAAATTTCTTAAAATTTTATTTACGAAATAAAACCAGAGATTTAATTACAAAGTGCGTACATCTTTATTTTCAATTTGAGGTCCGAGAGACGAGAGTACTATCAAGGGTTACTGGGCACATGCAAAGTTAGAGGATCGGGATGATTGGCCACGAAAATTGCCAAGTGAAATGGAGAAGCTCTCGAGCAAATGTAACTATTTCAAAGGAAAATGGTCCACCAATCCTAGGTATTAGAAAAAATTGCAATAAAAAAATTATGAGTAAAGATACGTTCTAATTATAACTTGCGTGTATCCCAAATGCGAGTAGAAAAATTATTTTGAAAGAAAAAATGTCCTCTTAAAGATATACGAAGAAACCGGTTACGAGAATGATGTTACAAGATATCGGCACGTGTTACAAGGATCCCGATGAACCGGGGCCTGGTCATTACAATCCTCGGACACCGCAAAAACCGAGTTCGCTCAAAAGATATCCCTTCGATAGCAATATAGAATATGCGCAACCACTTCCGCCAAGTGACATTCGTCCTGGACCAGGAAGATACAAGATTAAACAGAAATATCATGTAAAAGGATACGGATGGACGTGTGTTTTCAAGAGCAAAGTGCCTAGAACGATCGGCGTCATTGCGCCATCGTTATATAATGACTAATAGATAATTTCTGCGGATAATTTAATAATATAATAAAATAATATAATATAATAAAAAACATAAATTACAAAAACAATTTATTAGCGTATTTTTAATAGAACTAAAATTCGATTACTCTGTGTATAGTTATAATTCTATTAAAAGTCAAATTATTTTTATTACATCAGTATAAAATTTGGCATATATATAGAATTAATTTCATGGCAATTATCGATCGTAGGGTGTAAGTTTCATTACATCGAGAGCCGCCGCGGCGAAAAATCTACATGGATCGCGTGATAGCCCCTGTCCCGCGCGATGAGATCGGCGATTGCTCTAATTTAAAAGTCCAATGATCGTCGTGATTTATCGCGTGGATTAGCCCGAACGGCATGCCGTTTTCGTCGGTTTTTTTTCCGTCGACGGTGTTCCTCGGTCGGCGAGAGGCGCGAGGTTTCGTGCCAGGTGGGAAACGGTAACGGGAGCCCCGCGAGATAACGACGCACACTCGACTATTATCCCGAGGCTGCACCGAATGTATAATTCGCATGTGTGCTATGAACTTTGAACCGGCTGCACGAGCGCATCCCATATCGACCGCCCTGAACGCGTGCAATTGCATTTAAAGCTTCTGGCCATTTGCCATTGCTACCTTAAACTGTAACATCAAAAAAAAAGCAAGAGAAATGTACACAATAATTCTTTCGAGAATGTACATTAAAAATTCTTGTGCAAATTTAAGTAAAAGTATGTTACTCTTAAATAAAGCAACATTTGTACTTGTTAGAATAGAATTACAAAATATATCAAAAACTAACTTTTGGTTTTGGGAAGAAATTAAAAGCCATATTTTTATATATTATTAATTTGAGAGACAACTCGAATTAATAATATATAAGCTATGAAACAGCTGTCATAGTTGTGAACAGAGCTTATGTCGTTTTTTTGACTATGCCACAATACATTTCAGGTACAGATAATTATTTATTAATTATAACAAAACAAAAAGAGAATTTTCGATACATTTTACAAATCAATTCTACCAATTATGAGATTGCTTTATAAAACATTTCCATTTTAATATATTTTGTAAAAATTTTTGTTGTGTATTTTCTTGCTTCTGATGTCACAATATGAGATATAGTAATAATAAATAAACAGGAGCCTTAACTGTTCTCGAACGATCATCTCTTACATTTAGATCTTTGCCACACGCGTCATTCGTTTGTTGTGGAACGTCCCTCCCTCTTCTCCCGTCCAAACTTAATCCGCAACAAAACGCAACGAAATTTATTGAATTGTATGATTGTGACAAGATTAAGAAATTGTCACTGCGTCCACGGTAACGGCTGTTGCCTTTACGCAATCCTGAATTGTTACAATGCGAGGATCAATGAAGCGCGAACGTAAGAAAAAGGTGTTGCGCGGAAAAATATACCGCTAGTTAGGAAACAGTAGGCGCGATAAAAGAAAGAAAGAAAGAAAGATTTTCGTTCGCTTTATAAATTACAGTCGCATCAAGATATGCAAGATATACCCGCCGTAGAACCAGAAGCACGTCACGCGCGCGAGCGCGAGCGCAAGAGAAAAAGTGAGAAAAATTCCTCGCGGCGTGCCATATGGCGGATAATTTCGTAGATTGATGGAGGATTTCACGGAGCAACTGACACCCAGTATACGGGTTCCCATATAGAAGCGGACGCCGTCGCCGCCGCCGCCGCTGTATAACGCGGCTGCCGTGCGTAGGACGCTCGCATTAGCCGCAAGGGCGAATTAATCGGGACGCAATTGGGCGTTAATAACTTTCTAATTTACGGCCGACGCCGCGACGCCGACGCGTCTCTCTCGCAAGATCGATCTGTGCCATTGGGTTCGTTCACCCGCAAGATTGCGAGTGACAGGCCGCGCCGAGAGACGGCGAGCATTGAAGGACGTGGAGGAAAAAAATTTTAAAATTGAAAGTAAAATCTTTGAACATTTAATAACAAGTGAAATCGACCGTTGCAGAGTAACTCTGGACAACATAAAGTCCGAAATCGAGACACAAGATATCTCAATGATACTCGTAGCTTTGCAAGAGACGTCTAAAAGGCGTCTTTATAAAATCTGATGTCCCGATTTTCGATTTTATGTTGCCCGGCTACACAAATATAATAATAAAGAAAATGATATTTGCGCGTTCAAGGAGGATTTTGGACTTAATAAAATTTTTGCGTAAATTTTTAGTTTTTATTACAAGCAAACTGCCCGCCGATTTATCTTAAAACATAGTCGATCATAAATCGAAGCTGAAGTCATAATATCATAAATTAAATTGATAAACATTTAATAATATTGCCAATAAGCTTCTTAAAACACTGACAAAACTTTGTAAAATCTCTAAAATAGAAGTGATATAATCTATCTCACTCTGTTTCTCGCTTTCTATCCACGTTCTCTTATATACTTCCTTCCTTTGCGCTGAATCCTTTTATACAAGCCATCGAGATAGCTTCGAATGATAGGTCGGAAATTTGAACTTCGAAGACAGATGGAACAATTCGCTGAACTATCAAATGCGACACGCTTCTATTCTTCGATTCTACGCCTCCAACATTTTTTGGAGGTGAAAGGGGAGGGAAACATCTCAATTCCAGCACACGAATGGTCCATAAGTATAAGTCTCCGCGTGAGACGTTCCAAAGGGATTTTATGTCATTTTGCACAATGGCCAAGTGACGTAGGTACATTCTCTCTCTTCTCTCCGTCCCTCTCGTTGTCACACGCGGAGTCGGGTCGCGTGGCAGGAGTTTGACCCATTTTTTCCTCGGCGTTTTCGTTCGACGAGGCCCCATTACCTCGTAAATCACCAGAACAAAGGGCGAATATTCAGACACAGTGGCACCTTCCCCCTCGACACTGTTAGCTACCATTTCGAAAAAACGTAAATCTTAGTCCTAGATTTTATATACCTAGTCCTCATTTCTCTCCTTCTATGCTCCTTCTCTCTTTATCTCTTTAAGAGCTTCGTCCTCGAAAAGGCACGTGCCTTTTAATATTTATTCGTTCTATCCACCGGGATACAATAGGTCAAAAGATAGAAAAGTATTGGCAGCGAATCTCCGAGTATCACACAAAAATGCACGTCTCTTCTTTGACATTTTGCACAATGATGCATTTAAGAATGTGGACTAGAATAACGTTACCGTCGTATTAGAATAGCTTTATTAAAATAGCCGAATGAAAGGGCAGAATTAATGGAATAGAATATTACTACTGGTATTACTGATGGTCTCAAGAGTTACAGACAAATAACTTTTTCTCAGATCAGATATTCAGATGCTTACACCAGGCCTAACACTACTCTAGTGGGGGGTCCTTCTCAAGGTCATCAACGAGCTCTTACAGAGCAGGAGAAAGGAGAAATACTGACAATCTATTATTGAAAATACAATAAAAACAAAATACAATAAAATGGAAAGATGTGTCCTTGGAAATTCACTTAAATGGAAATGGTCAAGGAAAAGAATAAAAAGAGAAAAATTGAAAGAAAAAACTGAATAGAATTAGTATTACGTAAAAAGTTCGAGAACTTAAAAATCACAGGAGAAAAAGGAAAAGCGAAGGACACAGGAAGGAACGAAGACGACGCGCTCAGGGAAAGACGCTGCACGAAATGACTCCGGATCCGTTAAAAAAAAAATACGTTACAGAAACGAACGCAAATTCGATCGAACGGAAGCGGCGGTCACGCACCACGCACAGTAGATTATCGATGCACACGTGCCTTTTGTGAAAAAATTCCGGCCCCGTGTCCCTCCTCCCCGTTTCTCCGCGCCCAGGAAAACCGGCCATCGAGGGAGAAGGTGTGATATGTTACAGCTGGTTAAACAGCTGCGGGGTGGAAGGATAGCCGTGAACGCCGCGACAAATTTCGGTAGCAGCCACCAGAAGGCCGCATATGAAACCAGAGGAGGCCGCCCTCTTTTTTTTTCTTTCCCTCTCAGTATAGGCGCAGTTTATTTCTGGAGCTTCACCACCCGATAAGATCGACGGCCGCTTATCAATGAGAAAAGTTTCACGAGACAGATAAGAGAGAAATTTTTATTCTATGCAATAAATAATTAATACGATTGTAATCATGTCATTCAAATTTTTATTAGATTACCAAAAGGATTCGAACAATTTTGAATGAATAAAATACGCGTTAAATTCGAGATAATGCAATTACAAATTCGTACAACACGTAGATGTGAATTGACATCAGGCGCAATGGTAAAAATAATGAAAGTTTGCACGATAAAGTTTCGACGATGGAAGCAGTTATAAGAGGCGCTCTCCTTGCTTTTACGCTTTAACGCGTCTCAACGATCTTTCGCACGGGTAGTAAAATATTGGTGTTGAATTAAATTCGCGGGTTACGTACGTACACAATGACTCGACACGTACGACAATTTATTGGTCGATCTTACATTGACAATTATTATTGACGATATCGCCTTTAACTTTTTGGGGCTAACGACGATTTAACGGCGTTCTGTAACACTTCGTCTCCGATAATCGCGATAACGTCGTTAAGTGCGTTGTATCTTAAAGACGCACGCTTTGTTCTTAACACAAGTGATTTATTCCGTTCGATATTTAGTCTGCGCGCAGAGCACCTAGGCGATACTCGCGTGAGAAAAAGAAATATCAAAATATTATCTAGCAAACTATATGCCGATCGTGGCGCAAGGAGCAGCGTGGCAGCTTTCTGTGCCAAAAATCCAGATTCAAATCCACCCAGAAAATATAACTCTATAAATCGATTTTAATCGATTTGGAAACGATCGCCACCTCTCGAAAGGCAATGTGGCAAAATCACATGAAAGTATCTCTGCTAAGAAAACTTCTCTTAATTGGCCGTTCGGAATCGGCGGCTAAAACTGTAAGTTTCTATATCTATGGATATATGCAAAAGAGGTGACATCGCCTCTGCTGGGAGATCGGATGTGGCACGTAAAGAAGAAACTCTGTTGTTTCATCACACAATGTGAAGCGCATTCTAGCTACATCAACGGGTGCAAACATTGCGTCAAAAATCATTGATTGAATTTATTTAAA